CTATGCAAATGCAGCGTATTTAAATATCGATTGCAACGTAGAAATTATATAAAGCAACACGAGGGAATGTTGATCGGGATAATTAAATTTTGAGAAATTTTGACGAATGAAGAGTTACGATATTTGTAGAAATTGACTATATCCGTATAAAGATTTGCCAAGCTTTTCCCAAACACAGCATTAGATTTCTATTAGAATGTCCAAATTTATCCCCAAAATTAGCTATTTCATTCGGATACAAATTGGGAATCCTATTATCTTGTCTCAAATATCCCGTATAGAAAATTTTCTAGGATCTAATTGCAATTTAATACGATTTCCCAAAACAATTATGAGATCTGATTAGGAAATCTGCGAAAATTCGATTTAGAAGAATAATGTTACAAAAATGTGATTCTAGGGATCAGTTTCCATTTTCCCTACCAAAAGTAGAATTTTCTTCTCTAAAAGTTTTTCTCGATTTCTATTTTATATTTGTCTATTTTCATATTTACATTTTGTTTACTAATTACTATTGTATATTTATATTTACAAAATATTTTAAAGTATATTTACGTAAAATTTACAAGCATAAATATTTAAAAGACAAGCATAAATACTCAAAGAGTTTCAAATATCTTGTTCCACATAAAATAGAAATCGAAAAAATAAAATTTTAGTAAAATCGTTTCAAGTCTTTTGTTCTGTCTTTTTTCGAAATAAGTGATAAATGTTTTTTTGAATACAATACACACATACACAATATGTGTACATTTTGATTTCAAATATAAAACTTTAACATCATATTAAACGTTCAAGTGTATTCTAGTTTTTTACAATTAAGACAATTGGAAAGTTGTAATAATAGCCGTACAATGGTCTATATTTTAAAAAGAACAGATTTTATATCTCTATAAATCATTATTATGAAAGTATTAATTATTACTTAATTATTTTCTGTGTCTCTTTACTTACTTTCACTCTTTTGTTCTTCCTCTAATTTTTCCTTTTCATTCCATTTCTCTTTATACTTTCTTCTTTTGTTCAATCTTTTATTATCCTTTTTTCTCTATATATCTTCCTTGTCTTCTCTCTCTCTCTCTCTCTCTCTCTCTCTCTGCTTACAGGTATTTTTGTTATGAAAAATATTTAAAACTTATAAATACAAAATTATTAATTATTGTTAATTACACAAAATTACTAACTTTTTGCTCTATAGATTACTTTAACACTATATCTTCCCTATATTGGACTTTCTTATTAGAAACTTTTAAGGTCAGAATTCGTACGATGTGTAATAACGATTAATTTTTTGTCCTACGGCAACAAATTCATAAAAAAACTCGTTCTCGTAAAGCATGAAACAACTAAGTTGTGAAAATAGGTAACCACCGTGAATCGTTTAATCACGAACTGTCGTCAATGCATCATTTAAGCGATAAAGTAAGTCGCAACGCAACAACCAATCATCATCCCAGATAAGAGAGAAGAGATAAAATAATAACAGAACAAATTGTGGAGAAAAGTTGCGCAGAGCAAATGGAATTTGTTTGAACTTCCCATTTACAATTGCAACTTCATTTGTTTGGAAAATTAGAATAGATCTCAATTAGATTCCAGAAAATTTTCTACAGCCGGGACAAGAATGGAATTCCCAATTGGTATCGCGATACGATACACCTATCTGGGACAAGTTTGGGTAATCTGATGGGAATTTGTGCAATACTTGGAAATGTTTGGGGAATTTCCATGCGGGCCATAATTATTTTGGGAAATTTTCAACTGTGTGTCTCAATTAGATCCACGCAAATTTTCTGTGCTGATAATCAATTGAGCGAGACAATTAGCGAATACGGCGAGATAAAATCGAGAGCCTTTCGTGTCGCGGCACACTCGAATTCGATCTGCGAATTCGACGTTCGTCTCGCGACGAAGGTCACCACGCGTCGTACCGTTGAAACGTGTGAACGAGCACGCCACGGGTCTACCATACCGTTATCGGTGATAATACGGAAATCGCGGAATAGTATGCGAGGCTGTTTACATTGCTTATCGTCTCACTTCCGCGATATTGGGCAGAAACGTTAGTAGCAGCTCGAATAGAGTGTCGCAGATTGCCAAATCGTAAGTTTCTCACACACGATAACGGATCTTTCCTCCGCCTCTCTCTGTGTGTGAAATCTTATTAAACGCCACCCTTCGATATTACTCCATTTGCGTATGTATGTATATGCGTGTATGTGTGAGCGTGCGCCTGTGCGTACTCGGCCCTTTAGTTTCCCTTGACTTTTTGTGTGTTTGCTCACCGTCTTGTTGTCGCTGCTTTCAAAATATTGTTGTTATGATCGAGCTCCGAGTACGTGAAAGTCAGGTCAGAAAAACTCGTGCGTGGTATTTTCGTCACGACAATGTCCGCGAGATTTCCTCCCGCGCCTTTTAAATCAATCGCGTCCCGTTCTCATGTGTTCTTGTATACGTCGAGCGTGCCGTTGCAACGTTTGCTGCAACTCGCGAGTGATCGTCCGAGTCGCATCGTCGTCGTCGGCAGCGGCGGCGAGACAGAAAAGTGGTTGACGCGTGTCACGGGACCGAAAATCGTCCGAAATTCATCCGTAAGCGTAAGCGACCTGAATCGAGAGCAGCCGGAATTTGCGCGGCAATTCTTCCTCTCTTCTTCTCCGTTCTCGTTTTCTCGCCTCGTTTCCTCGCGAACAAAGATCGCTAATCCGCGACGCGTGCGATTTTGAGCGTCGACGACGTCGTCGACGCATACATAACGCGTGGGCTCAGACGTCACGACCCCGGATACGGCACAGACAGCGGCTATTAAGGCGTTATTCATCGCTTCGAAGTGTCTTCGCGACAACGGGGACTTTTGCGTGCTCGAGCTAGCCGGAGTGTCCCTCGATTAGATCGCGTTCGCGAGCGAACAAACGGAAGCATCCGTGCGGTTCGCCCAATTTGTGAGATTCTACGTAAACGTGAAGACTGCGGGGGAAGACATTGAGCGACATTGTCGAATAGTCGACAAACTTTGGAACCGAGCATTTTAATTGGTCATCAATATTAAGAGATTGTCGTGAGTTATATAAAGTTAGAGGCACTTTTCGTTTGCACTTTCTGCGTTCGAAACGAAACGAGTGTATGTTACGACGCGTTTGATTGCTACATTGGTTTCTTCCCAAATGTTTGTATCTTTAGAGGGTTAGTCTTGGAACTTTCGAAATATCCTAGATATCATAGAGAATTAAATTCAGCGTATGTCACCAATTGTGAGTTCATTTTTAAATACAAGAAGAATTCTTTTCACTTGAACTCTGAGGAATTCTTTTTGCATCTGAAACTCAGAATTGTTAACATACGACTGAATTTTGTATTCTTTATACTGTCTGGAATGGCATTCGGCTAAATGCTTCACTTTTTATTCGTGTTTAGCACACCGAATTTATATTCCTTTTTGGTTTTCGTACAGTGAGAGAGAGAAAATATGAAAAATATTTATTCGGTGAATACTAATATTTATTTAAATCTAAATTCTTTTATTTAAATAAGAGAAACAATTTCATGAATAGCTAAGGTTTTAAGAAAATAAATATTTTTTTATTTGAAAAATTTTATATTCTTTAATTTTTTATTAAAGTACAAATAAATACGTTATTATAGTATCCGCCGAATAAGTATTTTATATTTCATAGATATTTTTTCTCTCAGTATACATTGATTTATCGTGACACTTTAATTACGATCAAGGAAGTAATCGTCAGATCATCTTGAAATTATCTGTCTTAAATTAAGTTTTGTCGAGAATATTCGTGTATCATAATATTGGACAATATAAAAAGCAATTTTCCTCAATCTTATTCATTACAGCATATAAAGAATATATTTTCCATTCATTGGACTTTTGATTCCACTCGAAAAGCGCGCAGAATCTCAGTGGTGCATTGTTCAACGGCGATTATGTGGAATCCCTTATCCTCGCGTTTTGCTTAATATAAATTGATCGATTTATGCAAATTACGACAATGCGGCGGCGGCGGCGTGTCACGGATGAGTGGAGCGAAAGACGAGGGGTGGGATCGAGATAGACCGGGGATTCATCCAACGCCGATATCCGCCGCGTCGAGATACCCGATCGGTCGGCGGTTTATATTAGAAACTTGACCTGCATGGCCTATAAAAGCGCCTACCAGTCCGCGGGCTGCTGCGTGCCGCGCGACTCCTCGGATTGGTGATATTTTTGCTGGCTTCCTCGTTAAGCGCTCGCGAAACGATTCTCTTACGACTGCCGCGACTACTCTTGAACGTCGCGTATTCTGATAGAGATCCCGTCGGTTTGCAGAAAGAGGGACGGAATCAACGACGCGAGGAGAAACTAACTACGGCTGTGTGAAATGCGCGAGCGAGCTTGCGAGGCGTAAATACAAGAGCGCGCGTTGTGCGTAAAACTCGCCGCAACGTGTGATGCACGCGCGTACACCTCTTCGTCGTCCTCCGCAGCACGCGTAGTTTTTTTTTTCTTTTACAATTCCTGCGCCTCTCAATCTCCGACATAGAGTTACTGCATTCCACGGAAACGCGCCCGAGATCACTGCGAACGGTCTCGCGGCTTCCAGCACGACGTCACGTTTCTTATCTCTAACTGTTTGACACTCTTTTTACGTTTCTCCTTTGTGTCTCTCTCTCTTTAAGTGACGAAGGCCACGTTCACTCACCGACAATGTAGTGGCTCTATCATCCATCCCGACGTAGTCCGCCCCGTGAAGCCCAAGTTGTAAAATAGATTCTAGTACAGCGGGCTCGCTCTTACGCCTCTTTTTGCAGAGATACGTATTTATATTTATATATATATATATATATATATATATATATCACTGTATATAGTAGAGTTAGCGATTTTTACCGGATTGACATTCTGTGCGGTTTTACTTTATAGTCGTATTGCCCTCTTATTTGTTAGCCGCAATGCGTTCGTCCGACACCGCGCCATCTTTTTTAACTTGTCGATTGGTCCTTTGCAGATTGGTTCCCCAAGATGTGCTCCTGCATCGACGGCAGCTCCACGCTGCCAGGCAATCGACCCTCCGGCCAAGTCGGAAGTTACGAACGGCTCGGTTCCGGCCCTACAATTTTCGAGCTTAGCAGCACGATGCAAAGGACTCGAAGAAGAAACCAGCATCGTGAACAAGACTTGCTGGACAGCGAAAGACAGGTAAACGTTGCGACATATTGATCGCAAACAATCGCGCCTCATCCTGAGTTGAAGTTTCCTATTTTCGACCTGCGCTTTCTAATATCTATATATTTTGAAGGACTAGTGTATGTTTGACCTATTTGAACTATACATTTTATTTCTTGGTGAAGTTTAATCTCTCAGAGTGAACATCAGAGAGAATATATTTTCTTTCAATTTACATAGTTCAGATAGGGACTTTGTTTACAATTATGTCCCTTAATCACGCACATCCATTTATTCCTTATTTTTATCATTACATTGCATCTGTGTAATTGACTTTACAAATGTCATTCTCGTTACCTTTGTAATCATCTTTTATAATCTTCTTAATTTTCATCTAACTTTTACACTATCTACACCTTCCCTCTATCTATTATGTCTAATGACACTTTCCCATTTCACTTAATGAGTCACATACCGTGTTCATATACAATATTCTAAATTCTATCCTTACCCTTTACTAAGCTGTATATATTTATCCCTTCATCTTTTCTCTTTTTATCTGTTTTTTTCATTACTCTCTTCATTTTCTCTTCATCCTTTTTTCCCCTAATTTTTTTACGTATCTTGTTATTTTCATTATTTCACTTTATATTTTTTACTAACTCCTCCGCCTTTTTTTCATTTTCTATATGTTTCCTTCAGTTTATGCCAAGAAGTTTTCCATATCCTATAACTTTTTTCTTATTCTTTGCCTTTCAATCTTTTTATTTGCACAGCACTTGTCCCACCAGTCCTTATATTATCTTTCTTCCATGTAATCCTTATTCCGTATTTTGCTTTCTTATTTCATTTTATCACCAAATCTTTCTTTTTAATGTTTTGGATTCTCTTCTTCCTTTATCCCTTGTATATTTCTGTTTTCTCTTACCACATACATTTCCTCTATCGATAATTTCCTCTGCATTATCATATTAATTTAAGCTTGCCTGCATTACGTACACTATTCCAACTATCGTTCTTTATAACCTCTATTAATAAACTCTATTATCCTATAATAACCTCTATTATCTAGTGTCTATACGAAGTTGACAACGCTTTATACATTAAAAAAAAGGATCTAGCACTTTTTATAATTTTAGAGTCCTTGATATAAGAAGTTTTTAATATCGAAAAATAACAAATGAAAGTTTGACGTGCTAACTTCGCGAATTTAGTACGACACTTCCTTTTCTAAAGTATAAGAAATCAACGAATATCATTATTTTTAGCAACAGTTCTAATGGAATTTCATCACTGAGTGTAATTAAAAAAAAGAATTCCAATAACTATGTTTCTTCATAAACTTCGTACTATACTGTACCCAGCACGACATTCGGACAAAAAGTATTGTGCTGCCAATTTTTGTACTTTTTGTGATAGATATCGATAGTTCTAGCAAATTTCTAATCCTTGCAGAGTTATGGCTGCCAACTATTTTAGATAATTTTTTAATTTTAGAGCCAGCACGACATTCAAGCAAAAAGTATCGTGTTGATCATTTCTCCCGCTTTTTTGACATATATCGTTTTTAAATAATTTTAAATTAGAAGGTTAGAACTCTTGCTAGAATCATCGATATTTATCGAGAAAATTAAGAAAAATATTTAGCATAACACGTTTTTCCTAGCTACGAAGATTAAAAAATTATTTAAAAATGGTTAACGGCTGGAACTCTCTCTCTCTTTCTTTTTTGCTTAAAAATGATTATGGGATTAGAAATTTGCTAGAACTATCAACATTTATCAAAAAAAGTGTCAGCAATGGTCAGCACGATACTTTTTCCTCGAGTGTCGTGCTTGGTGCAGTAATCGAAGTTTAGGAAAAAAATTTTTTTTAAATTACACTTAATATTGGTACTCGATGAGAATTGGCAGGAACCATTGCAGAAATAATAGTATTTATTGATTTGTTGTACTTTAGAGTGGGAAGTGTTGTGCTAAATTCGCAAAGTTAGCACATAAATTTTTTATTTGCTATTTTTCGGTATTAAAAATGCGGAACTTTTTTGTTTTTTATCAGAAACATTAGAACTATGAAAAGTGTTATTGGAATTGTTGCATTTTTTAAATTTGTAAAGGGTTATGCCAAATTTCACAGATACTATTATCTATGTATTTTTTCCTGAATTCTGTTTTTTTACCTAATGCCTTGCTTTGCTTTCATTTACATACTATATACATACTGATTCCTACATAATTTCTTCTATATTCCTCCCATACGTCACTCAATACACTAAAATTTTTTTCCAAATTCACGCACCACGTTAATCAAATATCCATATATTCGCATGTCATCGAACCATCGAACTCTGGCGAGTCCAATATGACGACCTAAAGTTTCCAAAATAAGCAATTTCATTTTTAGCATTATCCGGAAATAATGACAACGTTTGCGAAATATGAAAAAGAGATATTTGCGTTTTTCACAAGGAACTTGCAGCAAATATATCATCAATATTTTAATAATTTATAATAATATTTTTAATATTATTATAACTTTCTCACAAAACATAATAAAAATTAAAAAATAACTAAAAATTAAAAAAAATGTCTTATAATCTCTTTGTCAAATTCTCGTAAAAATTCCAAAAAACTTTCATGCCTACTATCTAGAGAAAAACTATCTAGAGTTTTCAATACATATTGAATTTGAAGTCCTACTTGGCGCTTCTAAATAATAGAAAACACATAAAATGTCACTTTCAGATCCTAAAGAGGAGCTCTTAGCAAAGTTAGTAGATTCAATACAATCAAAAGTTGATATAAGTTCAAAGTATCAAAGTAGGCATTAGAGATAGAATGTTGAGATAATCAAAAGTAGAATCGAAATTTTGATATTTATTTTGATATTAAGTTTGAAGTAATTCTTGATTACTAGATTATGTACTGTATTATAGATGCACATACAAAAAATGCGTCGTTAAATTTATTATAATATATTCGTGAGAGATAAATCAGAGATTTACAGTTACAATTTATGAATCTTTGATTTATATCTCACGAATATATTATAATAATTTACGTAATTTCACAAAAGAAAAGCACATAAATTTAACTTCATTAGCTTAATTTGAGGAAAACTAAGCGAAAAATAATAATACTTAATCCGTCTGGCTAATTGTGTATACGGAGAAAATAATGTAGTAAAAATTATATTAAAATTATATTTCATTTGACAGTTTTATTTATAAAACTGGACTGTATTTACATTTAGTATAAATAACTATAATGGAGTAAATTTGAGACGATCTACTAAATATATGATATAAAAAAAGTTTAAATAATTATAACAATTTTTACAGTAAAAAATCAACACATGCATAACATTTTTTAAACAAATTTTAAACAATATATAAAGTGAGTCAGATAAAATATCACAAATTAATATCTTGGAAGAAAAAAGTATAATTCGAGGAAAAGTCTTAGGTAAAGGTTATAAGATTTCGAAAGAAGAATAAGATAGTAATATTATGATTTAATGGAATCTTACCGTCAAGATTATTTTAAGATTATATTAAGAAGGTCATTCTGCATATAAAAGTACTGAAGCATGATGATAGAAAAATTAATATTTTCTAAAGTATTTTATATTTTATGCTAATATTTTTCAGTATAAAAATGAGATATTTCGTAAAATATTCACTTTTCGATGACTCCACCTTAGAGTGTGGAACAGCGCGGAGTTGAATGCTCTGCGTAATCGATGCTTATCTGATTTTTTTTTGAGCAGGTATATAGGATGTCTAACATTAGTTTTGTGTAGATATAGAACTCATCAAAATGAACACAAAATTCTTCTACCCTTTCGCAAACAACTACGTAAAAGTACTGAGTTATTAATTAAAAAGGATTGATAAATGATCACGTGCAATACGGTAGATGAACTGTGATAGCGACATTTGCCGTCGTATGCTTGTACACGCTAAGTATGTTAAGTTAAACTGAAGAAAAGTCCTCTACCATTTTGTAAATAATCACATAGATATTTGTTATTAACTGAAGAAGATTGATGCATTATCACGCACCAATCTTTAATTAATAACCAAAAATCCATGTGGATTTGCAAAATAGTACAGGATTTTTTGTTTAGTTTGTACAAGCATATAACAGAATAACACGTTATTATCACAGTTATTATCTATCATATCACACGTGATCAATCATCGATCTTTTTTAATTAATAACTCAAATTATATGTGATTGTGTGTGAAATGGTAGAGGAATTTTGTATTCACTTTGATAAATTCTACTTACATACAACAGGTGTGTTATGACACACAGTTGTTAGACATTCTGTATATCATAGCGACAGTTTCGCTGATTAAACATATATGTTATACGGTCTTCTAAAGGTTAATAATTTTATGCGTATAATGACGAATAGAGTTGATTACTGTAGAGAAAACATAGGGATATTTAAAAAAAATTATTATACTTTACAGACGTATTAATTTACTAGATTGCCAAAATTAGTATCATTAATCAATTTCTTACATTGTTCTACAGAAATTACATAATATTTTTGTACATTATTGTATAAAAATATTAAGATGAAGTTATCGAAGAATGATGAATGTGGATAAAAATAGAAATATATTTTATACTGAAAAAATATCAAGATAAAATGTGGAAAGTATTTTCTTTCGATATATTACATTTTTTGATGATCTTACTTCAATTTTTTTGTGTATATATATGCAGAATAATCTAAGGAGTCAATATATAATAAAAAAATATATCATTCTATTAATAAGCGAAATATATTAATCTTAAAATAATTTTTAAAGAAAATTTCAATGTTATAGTAATATTACTATCTGATGCAACCTTCGAAATTTTATAACTTTTGAGACTATTTTTTCGAATAATGCATTTCTTTTGAGACACTTTTAGTCTGTAATATTTTGTATAGTAATATATGTATATATATATATATATATATATATATATATATATATATATATATAATAATATATATATATATATATATATATATATATGTAATAATAATAAGTATTACTTATTATTTTATGTTACTATATAAAGTATTATATAAATAACAATAAAGAATTATAAAATATAATATTATATATAAAGGGAAAAATATATATAATACTTAATAATATGTTATCATATATTGTATTCTGTGTTTCAGTCATACATACACACACAATTTCTGTACGGTCAAGATTAAATTTCGTTGTGATTTTTATTACAGACTTTTTTCCGTGCAGTCAAAACCGTCTAGAATATATATTTATGTTTTCAGGAAGAATTGCGGTTCTACAACGGTGATCACACTTGGACCACCGTGGTCGTGGAGAAGAATCTGCGAACGATCGACTTGTGTGAGCTACTTAAAGTCAAGAGGAACGCGATTGGCTCTGCCTGGTCGATAATCGAGACATGGCCAGAACTGGGAATTGGTATGTAATTATCGTAAATATCACATCGTGACTCTTGAGCGATATTTATTGTATCTTCTCCATCGCGGACTCATTCTCTCTCTCTCTCTCTCTCTCTCTCTCTCTCTCTCTCTC